TTCTGATACACTTTTATGGCAAAGTTGAAACACTAATAGGGATTTTCAGTTGTTTACCTTAGGCCACCAATATGTGCATTTAAGGAAATATGTATTTCTTATCTTTGGAGGACCAGTTCAATTCACCACACATTTATTTAGTGCTACTTTATAATGGGCTATCTATGTTTAACGGCTTAGACCTTCATAATTAAGATTATGAAAAGAAAAAGGATGTAGGGACTTCCCTGGTGGTGCAGTGGTTAAGAATCCTCCTGCCAGTGCAGGACACAGGTTCGAGCCCTGGTCCGGGAGGATCTCACATGCCATAGAGCAACTAAGCTGGTGCGCCACAACTACTGAGCCTGCGCTCTAGAGTGTGCGAGCCACAATTACTGAAGCCCGCGTGCCTAGAGCCCGTGCTCCACAATAAGAGAAGCCACTGCAATGAGAAGCCCACGCACCGCAACGAAGAGTAGCCCCTGCTCACCACAACTAGAGAAAGCCCACGCGCAGCAATGAAGACCCAACGCAGCCAAATATAAATAAATAAAATAAACTTATTAAAAAAAAAATAAAAGGATGTAGTAATGTATATGCAGAACATGTGCACACAGACTGAATGTGATCACGTGCACACAGACTGAAAACTGCAGGAGTCAGGGATTTGTGAGTGGTATCTTGTGCCGAAAGTCTGGAGAGTGTCACAGGGAGGCCATATGGTGGTGAAAAATCTAGAAAAGTGAGTGAAGGGCTTGGATTTTATCCTGCCCTATGAAGTCTACTTCCTATCTTCCATCATTTTTCAAAAATTGAGATTACAATATTAATACATTAAAAGAGTGTTAGGAAAAATAAACTTCTGAGGTAGATAGCCTGGGTTCAAAGCTCAGCTCCTGTACTTCATATGTAAGTTTGGACAAATGCTTTACCTTTCCATGTCTCAGGTTAGATATTTGTCAAATGGGGATGATAATATTATAGACTTCAATCAGTTTTTATGGGGCATAAATGAATGAATGAGTATAAAGTATTCATATTGAGTAAGTGCTCAATACATCTTGGGTATTATTATTAACATTGCATCTACTAGTATTTGGTATAACAAAAACCCATAATTTATATTTTATTTCAGTGAATCTTTGTCTTATCTCTGGAAGCATATTCCTTAAGGTGAAATATTTGTTTGATTTCAATACTATCCTCTTTTGAGACATATATTATTTTAAATGAATTTGGAGCTATAGAGATAAGGTTGCATTCTGAAAAAGAGGATAGGAACCAACCTGATTAGGTCAGAATCTTGGCTCTACTAAATTCTAAGCATCTGACAATAGAAAATAATTTAAATTTAAATAGTTTAAATTCTCAGGGAATTGTTTCCTGAGCTGTAAAATGGGGATAATATTTCTTTTCCACAGTTATAGTTTTATAGAAGACTATCATTGAATGGGACTAGAAAAGTAAGTAGAAAGCAGACCAGGCAAGGTCTTGCAGATGGTGTTAAGGAATTTGGTCTTTGCCCTACAGGCAATGGGAAGCTATATGAAGATTTTTAGTAGGAAAGAGAAATGATCAAATGTTAGTTTTTAAAAGATCAAGCTGACAGCAATGTGGGGAATATATTGGAGGAAAATAAGAGTAGGTGGAAGAAGCCCTATCAGAGTTTATTACAGGTGAAAAATAACAATAGCCTAGCTTATGGTGTGGGTACTAGAAATGGAGAGAGATGTGTGGAATGAGACCTATCTTGGAGATAGCATTAACTGGTGAAGCTAGTTTGGGAGGATAGGGGATGGTAGGAGTCAAAGATGACAAGCAGGTTTTGCCTTGAACATATGGGTAGAAGGGGGTGCCATTGACTAGGCAGCACTGAATGAAGAGCAAACACTATTGGAGAAAGAGGAAGATCACGAGTTAGTTTTAAATATCTGTTGAGTTTAAGGTGTCCGTGAAGCACCTAAATATAGATGTGAAGTAGACAGTTGAATAAATGACCTGGATCTTAAAGGAGAGGTGTGGGTTAATGGTATAGATTTGGTATCCATTAGAATATAGGTGCTCACTGAAATCAAAGGAGTGGAATAGATGCCATAGTCCTAGATGGAGACTGAAGAGTAGAGGACAAGAAGACCTAGGACAGATCCCTGAGAAAATTCTTACAGCTCAGTATGGGAAGATGAGCCTTCAAGCAAGACTAAGATTAAATAGCCAGAAAAAAGGAAAATTAAAATTCTCTAAGGTTTAGAAGCTAAAGGAACAGAATATTTTAGAGGAGAAAGCGAATGACTGTTTTGGAGATAACTAAGTGATCTAATAAGCTAAGGAACAAAAAAGTTTCTCCTGGATTTGGTGAAGTAGATGACATTGATAATAATGATGAAAGCAGTTTTGGTGGAATGTAAGGGGAAAATCAGAGGGATGAGTAATTGTCTTGCAGGGTTAAGATCAATGATTGTGAATTTATAAGGAAAAGGTTTTTTTAGTACCTTGGGTACAGGCACAGAAAAATCAAAAAGTCATTAATTTGAAGAATGTGGTTTGTTGAAAATGTGAAATGGAAAGAGAAAGTGGGCACTGACTTTAGGGAAGAGAGTAGTTGCAATAATGACCATGTACTCTAACCTGGATAGGAGAAGAGTAAAGAGCTGACAGATGGGGGAAAGCAGAGGATTTAATAAATCAATGATTCCACTGAGGTTGAAGTTCAGCTGTACTGAGGGTAAATGATCCAATAAGATGGAATTTATAGAAGACTGTGGTCAGAATCTGAGATATTTTAATGATTGTTCTGAAAGGTAGAATAGCTTATATGCTGACAAAAGAAGGTTTGCACTTTGGGAACTAGCTGTTTCTTTGTTATCAAAAGTGGGCCTGAGGCCTTGATATCAAGTACTCAATTATGCCTCCAAAGGCAGGGTAGTATTATGATTGGTTGAGAGCTAATGTCCCAGAGGAGACTCTAAGTAGAGAGTAATGGGGCCCTAAACTATACATAGAAAATTTGAATAGCTGTGTCTGGAGCTTAAAAGAGAGATCTGAGTTAACAGTACAGTTCTGATGTTTGTACCGGTAGTCAAAAGATCAAAAGGATTCATTTTAGGGTAATAAAACCTATATTTTTTAGATTTCAATATATGTTGCATTTTAGGACACAAAATGTAATTTTTTTTCTATTATAAACTAAATACATATTCAATATATTAGAAATCACTGATAAGCCAAAAGAGGAAAATGAAAATAACCTATAATCCCACCATAAAATACTGACTTGACAACAGGTCTCTCTCTTAGAGGTATATGCATACCTATTTAATTTTAATAGAGGCAGGCTTGTATTGCACATATTATTGTGTAATATTTTTTCACTAAGGTATATATCATAAATACTTTTCAGGTCACTACATATCTATCTACCTCATAATTTTTAATACTCCACAAAGCAATACCTATTTGTCCAGCCCCAGACACAATAAAATATTCAAAGGACGTATTCTAGTTTTTATTTCCAAGCTGAAAAAGAGAAGCTTTCAAAGCACTAACTAGATGTGTGATTTGTCTCTTCTCTCAAAGCCATAGTGTTGAAAGGATTGGATTAGTGGATCTGTAAAATTTCTTATAGCTCTATAATTTCTGTTCTGTTCTATTTTATTATCTTCTATTTTAAAACACTAACTGGTAACATCCTAGTAAATTCAGTATGTGGTCAATGTGTTCATCTGATTATACTTAGAAGAAAACTGGGACAGAGAACGTTAAGTGGCTAACACTGATTTCTTGGGAGAATAAGAGCCAGGGTTAGGAACAGAACCCCAAATGCCTGGCTCCAGGATGCTGTGTTCTCAGCTACTCAGCAGAACCAGGAAGGTAACCCTACCCTGCCACTCCAAAATACTGACTTACCCAATTTGAACCTCCGAGGTTTTTGAGGTTTCGGTATCACTAACCTATATGGGCAAAAGCCTGCTTTCCAATCCCAGTGTGGCTTCCTTCTGGACATCCCCCTTTTCTAGGCGAGGATTCCAGCTCAGCATTGGCAATAAACCTCTGTACTCTGGATCCCGGAGTCGTATCCTGCCTTGTTGTCAGATCCCATTTTAATCTTTAGTGACTTTTCTGTTGGGTCACTCCACTGAAGCTGATTCCAATATTATATTCATTTTGACTTTTCTTTTGCAGACAGTTTTTGTCACAGTGTAATTTGTTTGGGGGCAGATTGGAGTCTGTGATTATAGACTAGAATTACATTAGTCAGTGCAAGCCTTGGCATTTACAGCTGCTTCTCTTTTGTGGTACCTTTTTAAAGTTAAGTTTCATTAAACTTTTAAAGGGAAAATGCTCTATGGAATTCATGAGCAAAATCTGAACTCAAATTAGGGAAGACTGTCAATTTTCCTGATCAACATTTAAACCAATATTAAGATTGAAAGGATATCAGGAGTCTTCAATGAATGAATCTAATTGGGAAGATTGTTTTATACACGGTTGCATTTGACGCTAAACAATCCTTATTTCATGAAGTACATCAAGGTAGCTATTCCATAATCTTCCTGGGTTATGAAGGAAATATAAGTTCATTTGAAAAATCATCATATCTTTACGACATGTTCTGTTATTTGTACACAGGTAATATATGCTCATAAATAAGCCGGCAATGTTGTACAGAGTTGCCAAAAAATTGTTAAAGCCTTGCTTAAAATTTGGGTGAACAAAAATACCCTCTAAGCAATTGCTCTTAGAATGTTTGATGATGGATATTCAAGAAGCCTTTAAAGTATGGTAAACATTTCCCCTTTTAAAAATATGAAGACAGAGGGGGCGCGGAAGTGAGCAGCCGGGCGGTGGAAGCGCGAGCGGGAGGCCGGCCGCGGTCCCAACCTTGCTGCCGTCGCCGCCGGGGCTCGCCCGGGGATGTCTCAAGGCCCCCAAGCACCACGCGGCGGCCGCCGTCCCGGCCTCTGAGGGCCGCCACGCCCCGGCAGCGCGCGCGGGCTGAGGGCTGCTCGGTGCCTTCTGGGGGCGCCGGGGGAGGGGCCCGGGCGGGCCGGGAGGGGCTGCCCAGGCCCCGCGTTTCCCCTTTCACCGCGGCCGGCGCCGGGCCAGGAGGATGCGCGGCACCGGGCTCTGAAACATGGAGGGAGTTCTATACAAGTGGACCAACTATCTCACAGGTTGGCAGCCTCGTTGTTTTGTTTTAGATAATGGAATCCTGCCCTACTATGATTCACCAGATGATGTTTGCAAAGGGAGCAGAGGAAGTATAAAGATGGTAGTTTGTGAAATTAAAGTCCATTCAGCAGACAACACAAGAATGGAATTAATCATTCCAGGAGAGCAGCATTTCTACATGAAGGCAGTGAATGCAGCTGAAAGACAAAGGTGGCTGGTTGTTCTGGGGAGCTCCAAAGCCTGTTTGTCTGATACTGGGACTAAAAAAGAAAAAGAAATAAGTGAAACCAGTGAATCTCTGAAAACCAAAATGTCTGAGCTTCGCCTCTACTGTGACCTCCTAATGAAGCAAGTTCATACGATCCAAGAATTTGTTCACCATGATGAGAATCATTCATCTCCCAGCATAGAGAACATGAATGAAGCCTCTTCTCTACTTAGGGCGACGTGTAATACATTCATCACAACGCTTGAGGAATGTGTGAAGATAGCGAATGCCAAGTTTAAACCCGGGATGTTTCAGCTGTGCCATCTGGATCCCTTAGTTTCTCCTGTGTCAACTAATCCTGTTCGAATGATGAAACGTCCTGTCAGTCACCCTGGTTCTTGCAGTTCAGAGAGGAGTAGCCACTCTATAAAAGAAACAGTGTCTACACTTCACCGAATCTCCCAGCGGCGCCGAAGAACCTACACAGATACAGACTCTTTATTTATTTATTTTTATTTTTTTTATTTATTTTTATTTTTATTTTTTTATTTTAACATCTTTATTGGAGTATAATTGCTTTACAGTGGTATGCTAGTTTCAGCTTCACAACAAAATGAATCAGTTATATATATACATATGTTCCCATATCTCTTCCCGCTTGCGTCTCCCTCCCTCCCACCCTCCGTATCCCACCCCTCCAGGCGGTCACAAAGCACCGAGCTGATCTCCCTGTGCTATGCGGCTGCTTCCCACTAGCTATCTACCTTACGTTTGGTAGTGTATATATGTCCATGCCTCTTTCTCGCTTTGTCACCGTTTACCCTTCCCCCTCCCCATAGCCTCAAGTCCATCCTCTAGTAAGTCTGTGTCTTTATTCCTGTTTCAACCCTAGGTTTTTCATGACATTTTTTTGTAATGATGTTCCTCTCGAAGACCCAGATAGACCTGTTCACTGTTCAAGAAATACACTTAATGGAGATTTGGCATCAGCAACGATTCCTGAAGAAAGCAGACTTATGGCCAAAAGAAAATCTGAATTGGAAGATCCTCTTCCATCCTTCTCTTCCTGAGGAAACGGAAATGTCCACCTTTCTCTAAGTATTGCTCTGCAAAAGCTGCTGTAATTAAACTATGTTATAGGGAGTAATTTTTCCCTTAGGATTACTCTGCACTTTATAGAATATTATAAAACAAACAAACAAAAAACAACCCACATACCTTTGAAGTGTATTTTATCTTTATATAGTTTATTTGCAAGAGTATTTTCCTAATAACTTCGCAGTATGAATGTGCATCTTTTTGTTTTTTGAACAAATGATGGTGTAACATTTTGACATCTGTAAGGACAAATGTAGATTTTTTTCTAAAAAACTGTGAGGGACTGACATCTTAGTCAGTGTGTATTGTAGCTGATAAACATAAAATCTTATAAACCTAAGGTTTCATTCAGTTTGACAGAAGTGTGATATACGTAACTTGTGCCATGGACCAAATGGTCACTTTACCCCAGCTGAAACTGAGTTACGGTCGCAGCTTGATGGTGTTTGTATTATATTCCTTTAAGCAAAAAGGAAACATTTAATATTCGAAATATTTTTACCCCAAATACCATGACATTGAGGATTTTTTAAAAACCAGACTGTGCTGTCCTTTGTATATGAAGTTGACACTTCATATACAATACCAAATATTGGGTTAAAGTATTTAATTTTTACTTATTTATTTTTCTGTTGCATCAAAAAAAATGATTTCATCCTAACTTTTATGACCTACCAAATTTAAGATGTGCATACCTTGTTATTTACATTGTTCTAGAAAAGAGGTTAATATTGTAGTGACCTTGCTCACTTCCACCAGAGAAATAAATGACTTGCAATGGAAGAGGATTTTAGTGCTTTTTTCCGAAAATAGACTTAAGTTGCTGTTGTAAGGTATTAATGTTTGCAGCTCTTTAGAATATCTAGACATTTTTAATTTATGAATATTTATAAAAAAGGAATGTCAAGGTGACTGCCCTACGTAACTTGAGAATGGCATTATTTAATTAAAGAACAAATAGCATTTTTTGGTAGTGCCTGTCCATACCTATTGTCAGTGTCTGCCTTGTAAACTGTTTTTTCAGTTCACTTTGGAGTGATGGTTTTGTCCAAGGTTTTGGATGAGGAGCACTTTAAAACAAACTGGTTTGGTGTTTTTAAGTTAATCATATGCTTAATAAATATGTGGTTTTTGCATTAAAAAAAAAATGAAGACAGAAATGTAATCAACCACTATTTTTTTTTTCCAGGGAAATTTCTTACTAAATTTTTTTCTTAAAAGATAAAAAGGTTGGGGGCTTCCCTGGTGGCACAGTGGTTGAGGGGTCCACCTGCCAATGCGGGGGACACGGGTTCGTGCCCCGGTCTGGGAGGATCCCATGTGCCGCGGAGCGACTGGGCCCGTGAGCCATGGCCGCTGATCCTGCGCGTCCGGAGCCTGTGCTCCGCAACGGGAGAGGCCACAACAGTGAGAGGCCCGCGTACCGAAAAAAAAAAAAGGATAGAGAGAGATTAACTTAGATCAAATAAACCAAAATAACTTTTAAAAGAAAAAAACATTATGTTCAACTATAAAGGGAATTTTTCATATTGTGTGTGCATTTTAATACACAGAACAAGGAATGTGTAAAATACTCAGAAGTAGTACTTCTATAAAGCCAATCAGAACTGATTAAACAGATAGGCATTACTTTGAGAAGGGCTAAAAATTATGTTATAGATGGATATTTAATGACATGAAAAAATGTTCATGGCATAAAATCTAATAAAAATATTATAAAACAATATGTACAATACACACCTGTTTTAATTAAAATAAAGATGTGTGTGACTCTAGACCAAAGACCTGAGAGATGTATATCAAACAGCTTTACTAGCAATAAAGCTAAAATTTGTATCTCTATCACTTTGTATCTATGCTCATACGTAATATTCTTTTCAAGTAAAGTTGTTGACTGATTTTGATACCAGGGTTATGCTGGCTCATAAAAATAGATGTGGAATGCACACTATTTCTCTAGTTTCTAAAGGAGCTTGTATATTCTTGGATTTTTTTTTTCCGTTAAATATTTGGTAGAATTCACCAATGAATCCGTCTGGGCCTGGAGTTCTCTATGTGAGGAATTTTATTATTATAAATTTAATTTATTTAACACACAGGGCTGTTCAGATTTTCTGATTCTTCTTATATTAGTTTTGGTAATTTGTGAAGCGAAATAAAGCACATCTTGAGCGGGAGAGGAAGAAGGAACGAGAAGGAAATGAAAAAGACAGGTACTCCTGTGATCCTTGGGAGGTGAGGTGTAAGGAGAGGTTAGAAGTGTGAATTTGTTATCAAGTTAGTTATCTGCAGGTGGCACATATTCCTTGTGTACTGAGAAAAGACATGAAAAGTGCCTAATCTGAAATGAGTTAAAGTACTACCAATGACTTAAGAGTTTAATAGCTTCTGCATCTCTGATTTCCAAGACTGAATTCAACAATTACAGGTCTTAAAAATAAAAATGGAATTTAATCTATAAAGAGAAGATCGTATAACTTGCAACAAAGCATAATGACTCTACAAACCATCTATCTCAGTAAAACTGTCAAAAAAGTTAATTTGCATGTCCACTTTCACTAAATTAAGTTGTGTTTTAACATTTTATATGCTCTTCATAAGTGTGAAGTTTTACTTTTAAATACTGGCCAAGTAAACCAAACCAAACCAAGTACATCTATTTTTTTTTATAGATCTTTATTGGAGTATAATTGCTTCACAATACTGTGTTAGTTTCTGTTGCACAACAAAGCGAATCAGCCATATGCATACACGTGTCCCCATATCCCCGCCCTTTTGAGCCTCCCTTCCATCCTCCTTATCCCACCCCTCTAGGTCATTGCAAAGCACTGAGCCGATCTCCCTGTGCTATGCTGTTGCTTCCCACCAGCCAACTATTTTACATTCAGTAGTGTATATATGTCCATGCCTCTCTCTCACTTCGCCCCAGCTTCTCCCTCCCACCCCATGTCCTCAAGTCCATTCTCTATGTCTACCTCTTTATTCCTGCCCTGCAACTATGTTCATTAGTACCATGTTTTTTTGTTTGTTTTGTTTTCTTTTTTAGATTCCATATATATGCGTTAGCATACGGTGTTTGTTTTTCTCTTTCTGATTTACTTCACCCTGTATGACAGACTCTAAGTCCATCCACCTCACTACAGATAACTCAGTTTCGTTTCTTTTTATGGCTGAGTAATATTGCATTGTATGTATGTCTCATATCTTCTTAATCCATTCACATGTTGATGGACATCTAGGTTGGTTCCATGTCCTGCCTACTGTAAATAGTGCTGAAATGAACATTGTGCTACATGTATCTTTTTGAATTATGGTTTTCTCAGGGTATATGCCCAGTAGTGGGATTGCTGGATCATATGGTAGTTCTACTTTTAGTTTTTTAAGGGTGCTCCATTCTGTTTTCCATAGTGGTTGTATCAATTTATATTCCCACCAACAGTGCAGAAGTGTTCCCTTTTCTCCACACCCTCTCCAGCATTTATTGTTTCTAGATTTTTTGATAATGGCCATTCTGACCGGTGTGAGGTGATACCTCGTTGTACTTTTGATTTGCATTTCTCTAATAATAGACCAATGGTACAGGATAGAATGCCCAGAGATAAACTCATGCACATATGGGCACCTAATTTACGACAAAGGAGGCAAGAACATACAGTGGAGAAAAGACAGTCTCTTCAATAAGTGGTGCTGGGAAAACTGGACAGCTACATGTAAAAGAATGAAATTAGAACACTACCTAACTCCACTTAATACCATACACAAAAATAAACTCCAAGTGGATTAAAGGCTTAAATGTAAGACCAGACACTCTAAAACTCTTAGAGGAAAACAGGAAAAACACTCTTTGACATAAACCACAGAAAGATCTTTTCTGACCCACCTCCTAGAGTAATGGAAATAAAAACAAAAATAAACAAATGGGACTTAATTAAACTTAAAAGCTTTTGCACAGCAAAGGACATAAACAAGATGGAAAGACAGCTCTCAGAATGGGAGAAAATATTTGCAAATGAAACAACAGACAAAGGATTAATCTCCAAAATATACAAACAGCCCATGGAGCTCAATATCAAAAAAACAAACAATCCAGCTGAAAAATGGGTGGAAGACCTAAATAGACATTTCACCAAGGAAGACATACAGATGGCCAAGAGGCACATGAAAAGATGCTCAACAGTGTATCTATTTTTTTTTTTTTTGCGGTACGCGGGGCTCTCACTCTTGTGAGAGGCTCCTCTCCCGTTGCGGAGCACAGGCTCCGGACACGCAGGCTCAGCGGCCATGGCTCACAGGCCCAGCCGCTCCGTGGCATGTGGGATCCTCCCAGAACGGGGCACGAACCCGTGTCCCCTACATCGGCAGGCGGACTCTCAACCACTGCGCCACCAGGGAAGCCCAGTACATCTATTTTTAAGAGGATTTGTCATATCTTAGAGTTCACCTGAATCCTACTAAGAATTATGGCAGAAGTGGGATGGGGAAGAGTGGCAATTTAGAAATTTGAGTGATGAGATCAAATAGAATATATTAGATTATATGTTAGTCCTGAAATTTGGATATAAACTTATGCAAAGGAAAAGTCACACATAAACATTTGTCATTTAAAAAAAAATTTCAAGTGCTCTGCAATGCTGTAAGTGTTATAGACATTTTTACAATCACAAAAGAAAATATGATAATGATCAAACAAATGGAAAATGCAAGTCTGGATCAATACGCAAAACTAATGGAAGCCATAAAGTTTTAGAGGAAGCATTTATGACTGTCACAGTTTATTTGAACAGTATGTGTCTTGGCGCCCAGAGGACAATCCTCCTAGTCTCCCCCGGCATCAAGGTTCCTAGCTCAAAAATCAGAATTCTTACTTGAATGAGAGTTTGACAATTTTGTATTTATCAAAATGAATGAAATCTAAAGTGACTATGAAAGAATAGTTTGCATGTTCTCATTGAACAAACATTTGTAAATTGACCTCTGCGTATGTAAATTACCAAGTTGAGGGGTGGTAATAGGTTGGACAACTTTTATGCCAACTTAAAAATTCCCACCACCTTTTGGCTCTGGCTATCGCTGTGACAACCAGCAGTCTTCAGATATATCTTAACAGTTCCTCATTTCTTGCTTTTTGCCCTAGGGCTTCTCTTATGTCTCAATACAGGATGCTGTGGGAGCTGACGCAGCCTTTCTGGAACAGCTAGAGAGACAGGAGTCAGGGGATAAAAATCCCTCTCTCAAATGTCCTTAGACTGACAGTTCTGAGACATATTCTTAGTCTTCAGAAACTCTGCAGGGAAATTTAGTTCCGGTTGTTTATAGCAGAACCAAATCAATAATGCACCTTTGGATTAGTCTTCCTTTCCCAGTTTACTCTTGCAATTCCGCAACTCTCGTTCCCTAGGATCACTTCACACATGTAAGACTGTCTCAAGCTCTGCTTTTTGGGAGAACCAAAACTAAACATTATTTTAAAATGTGGAAGTTTCCCTTCCTACCCCAACAAACTCATGTGCTATATATATTTTTAGTTTTGCTCAAGCACAAGA